GCCGTATCCCACAAACCCGGCGGCGGGGGAAGCAGCGTAGGGGTACTGATCGTAGGCAGCTGTGGTGTACTGGGAATAGGCTTGGCTGGCGGCGGTGTAGTCGATGTAGGGAGACGTGATGGACTGCACAGGGGTAGGGATCACCACGCTGGGCTGGATGATAGCTTGGGGGTAAACATAGTGAGGCGTGAGTCTGTGGAGGCAAAGGGAGAGAGTCAGCGAGGGGCTGAGCTCCCTCCAGCCTGCATGTCCCCCTCCTTCCCCCCCAAATTCATGTGCATCAGCCACAGAAATGGTGCTGCCCAGCAGTGCTGCCCTCGAGTCAGGGGTGCTGCTCAGGGTGGAGGGAATGAAAAGCAAAACACTCCTAGACCCCAAGGGTGGCAGTAGTGCAAGGTGAAGCATGGACTGCAAGAACAGACACACACCCTGGTCTCCGTGTCATGTATCTCCCACTATCCAGTCCTGCTGGTCCCCAAAATAACCTCCCTGGATGGCCGCGACACAGCCCCTGCCTGACTGGCTCACCGTATCTCCCTAGCCCCCACGTGCCCCACCTGTCCCTGCCAGCACTGGCAGCTTCATCACCTCCTGTATCCTCCAGGGCCACGCATCCCCCCGCACTGCCCAAACCCTGGTGGAGGCTCCCAAGGACCCCCAGCCCCTGTGGGGCACCTCCCGGCACCGGGGACACCAGGTCACTCCTCTGCTTGTCCCATCAGGGTAGTGTCCCACCAGGAACGACTACTGTCCCCAAGGCACAGCCGAGGGCCTTCCAGCTTGCCAGCTGTTACCAGTTACTACACATTTAAGCCAGCGTTTCCATAACACTAGATGTTTAGGGCAATGCTACAGGGTGTTTGTTGTAAAACATGAGATATTAATTCTGGTTTTCTCCCCTTCAGTAACACTCCTCAGTAGCGACCATGCCAGCAGCCCCCGGCCCAGCAGCGATGCTCACGTGCCCAGGAGCTTTTACATCCAGGCTCTGCGGCCGGCTGGCCCCCGGCATTTCCTCTGCCCTTTCGATGCAGGTCCTAAACTGTTGCTTTTCACCAGCCGGTTTGCCCCTGCCCCGAGATAGCCGTGCTGCTCAGAGGAATTTAACAACGCCACAGTCAATTAAAGTCCACAGACTGAAAGATCCTGGAGATGATTAATGCAGGATTGCCCACTAATTTGCTAGAAACTGCTAATGAGGAGGAAAGAAAAAAAAGCAGCAAAATGAAAGGGCTATATTTTCCGAAGGGCCCACAACAAGTCAGGCCTCAAACAAGAGCAAAAACTGCACAATCCTGAAGGTTTAGGTCCATCCACACAAACTGCCACGGGCCAGACAAAAATGGGCACTTGCACATGCAACTGCAGAGTGCAAACAGTATCTGCCTGCACAGCCCTCAGCAGCAGAGTGCTCCATTGTGCGCAGGCTTGACAGATTTGGGGCTTGTTTAAGAAATAGGGGTGTGCAGGCTGTCACTAGCAAATGGCACGTGACCACTGAAAGATAAGAGCCACATGCACCAAAAAGTGCATGCTGTGGAAGAGGTCTCTTTGGCTGGCTGCTTGCTGAATCACGTAAGGCGACAGCACGAACCAAAAGCCATCCTCCAGAGAGCTCATTCCACCCTGCCCCCAAAACCCAACGGATTTTGGCAAACCAAAAAAACAAGGTAAAACTCTGCAAAGAGCTTATGCAGATTCAAATATTTTGGGGATTTTTGTGTGGATGTGTGTGACAGCACATTTTCAAACACGACCACTTTTAAAAGCCTCCCACAGGCTTTTCACAAGACGCAGGCTTGTACATGCCTAACCTGCTCTCTAAAGCTGAGCTCAGCTGCTCAGGGAGAGGGTATCTTGCCCACTCGTCCATCTGATCTCCGGGGTCGGAAACCCCAGCAGACTCACCACGCTGCCCAGCAGTGGGACCCGGTGCTCTGGTGCTCCGTAGTGACTCACAGCCAGGGACTGGAAACTTCTGCTGGATGGCTCACTGGCTGCCCTCGTTCCACCCGAGTGTCCGTCCTAGGTCTCAGCCACCACCTACAATGTACTGGGGTCCACCTGGGGCTGGTTCCCCCTGTCTAGCAGTTACAGGACTGTTCCCATTTGCTTTACAATCAGCACTGGATGGTTTAACCCGCTCTTCAGGCAGGAGAAAGGCTTCTGGTAAACAAGTGCTCATCTGAACCGAGGTTTCTCGTGTTTTCCTACTCACAAATGCACTTCGGTTTTTCTTGAGGCAATTTGCATGATGAAAGAATGATTGTTCTCCTCTGCCCACCCCCCCCCCCCCCCCAGCATCACTGCCTCTGAAATCAGGGTCCTTAGATATAATGAGGCCCCCCCAGAGAAGCAGCACGGGGGAGGAGGATGGATGGTGGAGAGCAGCACCTCAGCCTTTGGCTGATTAAGTGCAAGACCATCTCCAGAGGCCAGAGCCATCCCCGGTGTAGTGCAGAGAGAGGGACCTCACAGCCCTTCAGTCCATAAGTGCACCATACCCAATATCACCCTGCGACTAACGAGAATGAGATGAGGTGGCAGAAATTCACTGAATCACTTTTGGTTTAGCTCTGATCTAAACTGAGGCCAGCATGGCTGAATCAGAGCTAGAGCTTATGCGCCAGTTCAGACCAAAAGCTCATAATGTCGCGTACTTGCACCAGCCGGCTGCAGCAGCCACCTCTTCTGAGGAGCTGGGCCCAGGCCGAACCCAGAGGTTCCTCACGCTTGGTCATTGGGGGTTTGTTTTGGTTTGTTTTGGTTTAAATAATGCAGAGGTGCAATACTGCTCTCTTGGCCTGCCAGCGTCTGGGGAAAGGTTCTGCAGAGGCACCCACAGGCATTGGCCCATGCAACTGTTGGGGGCAAGATGAGCAGACCCCACCCAGGCCTCTTGCTCTACCCCCTCGTAAATCGGCAGCTTGGACAACAGCCTGCATCCCAGATTGGTGGCAGATGCTCTGGCTGCCTGTTGCTTCCCCCTACATGTGTCCCACTACTGGGCTTGCTGCTACTCCAGGACTTGATAAAGCTAAAACCACCCCACAAACACAACAAAAACCCAAATGCACAATCCTCACACTCAGGACTCACTAAAAAACACCCACCAGCAGGAGCAGAGGAGGGACCTGCGCTTTTCCTGCACACAGGCGTTCAGCCTGTGCCTGCAAAATGACCAGGAGGATGGTCCGAGAGCCTCTGAGCAATCCAGCCTGAGCATCATCCTGTTTGAGCAGCTCTGCAGGTCACCCCCCAATGTCCCTTGCCGCCACACAACTGCTCTTTGGAGCTGGCACACCCCATGCTGAGGACGTGGCCACGTGCGGGGCTGTCAGGGCGAGCGCACGCTCCCAACTCATCCCCAAGGAACTCCACATGTTGGCTTTGCTTTCACGTACACAGCTCCTCCATCGCAGCTCCCATGGTGTGCTCCAGAGAGACAGCAAATCCACGACATCCTGCACTACTTTTTTGCTCAGCAAGGAAAAATTCCAGCTCTTCAATGCTACTTTGAATAAAAAGCACCATTAGCTAAGAAGACAGTAAGTATTCCTGTACTCCGTTTCCAGAAATACATCCCAGCCCAATACATACACAAGTGCACATCACACACCACAGTTTACTGCACTAGAAAATCACGCTTAGCAACTCCAGAATCTGCTTCTATGTAAAAGGGAAGGTTCTTCTGGTCTGTGGGATTTTAATAATTTAGCTAGAAATTTCAATCATGATATGCAGTTAGGACTTCTGAATTAGGTGGACAGATGACAACTCATCGGTCAAAACAAAACACACAACCCAAGGTAAGGTCACTTTGATGACTTGCAGCTACAAACAAAACAAAACTAGTGCAGTACGATGAAGTTCTCTACTGGCTACGTTTAGCATCCACAGAAGGTCTTAACTTATTTCCCCTCCTTCCATTATTTCTGAAGAACTTTCAGGGGGAAAAAAGCTCTTTTAGAGTTCTTTTTCTAAAAATCAGCAAACTCTAATCTGAATTTCTACAGAATGAGTCACATCTGTGTTTTAAGACGCCTTTCCCTTCCTCCCTGCAGTTCTCCTCCCTCCCCCACGACGGGCCCTGCCAGCCAGAAGAGAACTTCATCTAGAATACACACAATGTGATTATAAAACGTCAACCAAGTGATCAGCCATCGCCACCACACATCAAAGTCATCCCGCGAACAGCAGACGTACGAGATGCTTATGGCATTACAATTAATCGCGGGCAAAGGCCACAAAACGCAACAAGCATGGTCAAACCTAAGTCTAGAGCCGGCAGCGGCCGCAGGAGGGACTCGGGAGGGCCGTCGTGGTGCAGGAGGGCAGATGGGACCGCCACGCTAGCCCACGTTCCTAACTACGTGGCACGACGCCACACTGCCCCAGCAGCCAAAATTGAAAGACACAGAACAAAAGAGATGGTTACAGAGCCATTGGCAGAGGAGGTGCAGACTTGGCTTCTGCTTTTGCTGTGCAAAATATGAAGGACAGAACAAAAGCAGCCCGTTTTCGGTGCAGTCCTGGGTGGAGATGTTCAAATGCATCAGGTGAGGCTTGCAGCTACCAGCGCCCTCGGCTCCTGGGAGGTGCTGCCTGCTGAAAGAGCGGACTTTTTAAAACCTGCCATCGCCCGCTTCTCTCCACCGCACTGGCAGGGCAGGGCTGCCGGGGGCAAGCTGCAGGGCAGGGGTGGCTGGTGGGCAGCGGCGGCTGGTGGGCAGCGGCAGCCCTAAGGGCAGCCAGGAAGAAGGGACCAGTCAGATGGCCATGTGTCCCACACCCCTTCCCAAACAGCAAGGAAGAGGAACAAGCTAATGAGGCCCTCTCCCTCATCAGCAACTCTATCTGGCAGAGCTTATCTCAGAAGCATTTTATATATTTGATTATTTTAGATCAGATTTACACCTAAAATGTGTTTTAGCTGCACCTTCTCAGCTCTCCCCCATCCTGCAGGACTTCCTACGCATGAGCCGTAAGTAGCTCCTGCAAGCTGCATGGGTCTGGGAAAGCAGCAAGCAGGAGTTCCTGACCCCCTTGATCTCTGTCAGCCATGCTAGGAGCTGGTTTCACCGCTTCTGGAGAGGTGGGACACAACTGCAACCCTCTGTCAAGAGGGACACAGCATCACACAAACACTTGGGAAACAAGGAGGGGCACAGGGCTCTTGGCAACCTCACAGAG